GGTATCAGTTTTACTACGGGAATCTTTATTTGGCAATCATAGATAACAATTGATAGCAGAAACTTCTTAGCACAGCTTAAAGTCATATTCAGGTAATTTGACCTTTGTTAATGGGCTTTAATTAGAACTTGATTTTTACAAGAGAAGGGTTGAGATTAAAGTAAATGAAATACTTATATTTCAAGATAGCGATAATATTGGTTTATTGATTTCTAAGAAAACAATTTACTTCTTGAGTAAGTGAACCAAAAGTACAAAGGTAGACACATGGCAGTGATGTTATTGTTACACTAGAAATTTAATTAACCAGCCTTTCTCTGCCTTGGGAAATTTTGTTTCAGTTGACCACAGGTAGCACAACCTCAATGTCATCCCCAGCCCTACACAGGCACGAGGTACAACCAGACCAATGCTGGGCAGGGCCATGCTTTCCTCCAAAGGTGTCTTCATGGCCCTTTCAGTTTTGGGAGAGAAGCTGAAGGCACTGAGAGGCTGGAGGGAAAAGAAAGCTACAAAGAACCCAAGGGGAAACAACTTGTAGCCTCCAACAGACAAAAATATGGTGAAGAAAAAATCTGCCTGTGGTGGGGAGCCAGTAACTTAAAAAATGTCATGAGGGGTGAATAGAGAGAGGAAAACATTTTGGTAAACATATCTGAGTTACAGTGTGTCTGGTAAACCCAAGATCAAAATGCCGCTGATATTCTCTCCAGAGGAGGCTGCATTTCCTCTAGGTTCTCTAGAACGTGGAGTTCTATAGCCTTCTCCATCATCTCCCACCAAACGTGTTTTTACAAAGGGAGACAAAACATTACAAAATAATAAAGTTAGAAAAGTGACCTAATGCACATCTAATTCTGCTGATAATTCTATAACTGTAAACCGATACTTCTATATTTCTCCATTTAAATGTAAAAAAGGGAAGATTACACAGTAAGAAAATTAAACTCTCCATACCTCGCTAAACCTTGCTAAATATAGAACAAAACTTTCCGACACTGACACCTGAAATTAGCTACCAAAACACATTTAGGTTAATTTCAAGAGCTGTTTTGTGTCTGTAGCTCCTTGCTCTTCCATTCAAGCAACTTTTAACAAGATTTCCAATTACCTCATCTTGGCTGAACCTTAAACTATGTGAGCAGTCATGGTGGAGATGGGCAAAAGTGCTTTGAATTAATTTTTTCACTGCTTGTTTGCTCTATGGAAATCTTCTTAGTAGTGCTATATATTAGAATGCTCATGGGTCAGTTAATCAAAGCTGCAGCATTAAGAGCTGTGGCAGTAGGTTAGGAAGAGAGGAGCAATGTGTAACAAGTGTGTCAGCAGTCTGTAGCACAAATTGTTTTTTAAAATAAAATAAAAATGTATATTTATAAAAGATCAGTCAATCTTAAGCAATATTAAAAGAATTTGGGGAACAATGGTGATTTAGTTGAAAAAAAAATCAGATTTTACCATAACCTCGTATGAAATTGCATAATATATAACTGTGCAAAGAGTGTCTTTATCCTTCATGTTCAGCGGAGCCTATGATTTGCTCTGCAATCACATGCTTTATATTGAAATAATTCTTTTCCTAGAGGATTTTAAAATTAACAACATTGAACTCTGTTAAGTACCTTATCTAGAAACAAAACCATGAAGTTAAAAATCCCCCTTATTTGAATGATTCCTGCCATACTTTCATGGAGTGGATTCAGGTCGCGTGTGGGAGAATACGTTATAGTGATTATTTGTGAAAAGATGTTTAATTCAAAGATGTGTTGCTCAGTTCACTCTGGAACAGCTTGTATATAGAGAAATACAGCACATGACTGTTCAGAGATGATATTTTATTTATTAATAGAACAGCTGTTTAAATTTCACAGAATGGAAAGAAAAGGATGACACCCTGCTCTGAGATGTTTGTCACTCCCAAAGAGCCCAGTTCAGAACAGTGTGCAGAGATTTATTTTCTTTCTCTCTCCCTAGCTGCAAGCACCTCTGTGTAGGAATG